ACACCTTGTATAGACAACATACCGTCACAAACAGCTGTCTATCGTGCAAAGATAAGGCGACATCGGCGAGACCGCTTCCTTGCGGCTTTCACTGCCCCGCTTCATAATCAGCCATTACCCCGTAGATAACTCAACACCAAACACTTTAAACAGACAATCCGATTAGGAGACGGCAGCAGACGCGCCACTTGTGTCAGTTGCGAGCCATGTCCTGTAAAGTCTCAAGCCAAACACAAGGCGAGTCACGTGGACTCCAGTCCGGAAGGCGAGATGGACCAACCACACCTAGTTTGGTCGTCAGTGACTTCATTTCCCGCTGCCAAGTCAACTTCTGTCCACCTCGAGCCTTGCGCCACCCTACACCTGGCAGACTAAACAAGGCCCTTCTAGGTAAGCAGTGACCATGCATCCGTAGCACGTGCCCGAGCCAACGCAACTTATTCAGTGCTATCTGTTGTTCTAGGGAGCTAGCATGTTTATCACTACCCAGTACTCGCCTACGCACATCATCGTTGTGGACACGCTGGTGCCATGGGATGTCAGCAATGCTTCGCAGACAACGATGATCAAAGATTTGAAAGCGCCTCAGACCATCAGAACGTAAGCGCCAAGTCCCACTACCATAGAGCAGAACGGCCCTCACTGTGGCCTTGTATACACGGCCTTTCAGATGGAGGGAAATTCCTTTCTGTCGCCAAAGATGCCGCAGGTTCAAGAATACAGCACTCGCTTTTGCAATGCGTGAGCTGACGTCAGTTTCTATGCGCCCATCATTGCTGATGCAGCTGCCAAGATAAGTGAATTGATCAACCACCTGGAGTTCCTCGTTAGCAAGGATCAAGCAGTCATCAAGTGGCTGGTGGTCCTGCAGCAACACTTTGAACGTGCGAAGTGCATACCAAATAATGGGACCATTCTGGACAGGCTGATCAGGGTTGATTGTGCCACCGCAACATGGTCGAAAAGCAAGAGGGTATTGTCCGCCAATTCTAGATCAACTTATCTTTCACCAGGCAGCACTTCAACGCCTACATCGTGAGATTCCGAAAGGGAGCACTCCATGATAGAATCCACGACGAAATTGAAAAAAGGGGAAATGGGACAATCCTGACAAACGCCACTTGTGGTCGGAAAGTTATTTGATAGGACACCGTAGACTCTGACGCGGCCTGCAGTGTTCGAGTATAGAGCACGAAGGATGTTCACATATTTCGTGGGAACACCTTTCCGCGCAAGTATTTCGAACAGAATGCATCGATCGACTGAATCGAACGCACTCTTGAAGTCGAAGAACACAGCTATTGTCAGTCTGTGGTATGTATGGGGCTGCTCTAGTACCTGCCGCAAAGTGAATATCGGTCTATACAGCCACGTCCTGGGCGGAAACCCGCCTGCTCTTCCCTAATCCGAGATTCCCGTTCCGCAGTGAGGCGATGAACGAGAATCGAGGTCAGTGATTTTGTCACAACTAGCGTTAGGCTAATACTCCTGTGGTTAGAACAGTCTGTGTGACTTTCCTTCTTGTATATTGCCACTATAATCGATTCGCTCCAATTAGTCGGGACACTTCCTTCCAGATACATTCGAATAGGGATTTCAGTGCTTTGCAGTGGACCTCACCTCCATCCTTAAATAGTGCAGTTGGTAGGGAATCCGGGCCAGCGGCACGAAAACGATTAAGGGCTGTGATCGCGTTTCGGACCTCGGCCTCCGATAGAGGCTCTAAGCTAACCATCCATGGCTCGTCGTGCATCACCTGAGTAGGAAGAGGTCCGGAAGCAGGGGGCCAGCTAAACTGATTTTGAAAGTGTTGCGCCCAACGAGCCATCCGGCGCTTCTTATTCTGTGTCAGCGCACCCGCGTTGTCTCTGATTGTCTCACTGACGCCTGGTTCTCTGGGATCAGTGGTGTGGATAAGCTGGAAGAGTTTGTGGTAATTGCCTAATGCTCCTGCCTCCTCCATTTCTTGAGCCCTACTGGTCCACCAGGCTTCCTTGTCAGCACGTAGGCTCTGCTTTAATAAATAATAATGTCAGCTGTACGCCGTAACGGCGCTTCGCTGCCGCGTGCGGAATGAGTATACTGCGCGGACGCCCACCTCTACGCGGATTCGAACCGGTGAACTTATGATTGCAAACCAAACGTGCAAACCACTCGGCCACCGGTCTACTGGTGATGGTGATAATGAGTTGACGCCTAATGGGCCGTATGGTCATATTGTGTTCAGATCCAGCCGGGAGTTTCCTTCTAGATTCCAACAGGTTCACCGACCTTTCGGATATCCAATGACTGTTGCGGCGACTTTGGATAATGCCACACGCAGATGCTCCTGTGTCGTGCATGGCGGTCGAGATCCTATTCCACTGAAGTTCAGTGTCATTAGGACAGGACAGTGGAAGTTCGGTATGCAGTGCTTCTTGATAGGCTTACCTGACCAAGGGCTGTGGCACCTTCTCCGTTGCCAGTTGGAGGGGACACTTGGTGCGCCTCCCGGTAAAGTTCATGGAGAAACGACAGCGTACCAAGGCATGATCAGAGTCGACACAGGTACTCCAGTACGATCGGCAATCCAGCATGGAACCACGCCATATGTAGCTTACGGCTATGTGGTCAATGTGGGTCCATCGGTGACCAGCTACAGCAGGACTCCAAGTGGCATCTCGGCGCCCACTGTGTCTAAAATAGTGCTACTAAGAAACAACTGGTGCTCCGCACACAGTTGCAGCAGACGCTCGCCTTTGTCAGTCCGTTCGGAGTTAAGCCCACAATTACCACCCAACTGAGCTTCTGAAGAGCTCAGACGCCCTACTTGTGCGTTCATATCCCCTGCAAGTAATATAATATCTGAACTAGTGGCACTGCGTAATAGGGTGTTCAGTTCGTGATAGAATGTGTCCTAGACAGCATTAGAACTACAGTCAGTGGGAGCATAAACGGAAATCACAAACAAACAACGTTTTGTGTTACTTCTTGAATTCACCTTAGCTGATATTGTCAAACGGGCTGCACATAAACGGCTGTTCACCGGAATCCAATCAACTAACGATGGCACAGCCTTGGAACTTAGAATGATACCTACACCAGCTTGATCAGAGAGTGCTGCATCGGCGTCTCCGGATGCGTGCAACCAATAACGAGAGGATAAGCCAGGTGCAGTTAATTCACAACCCCGTTAGTTTCGGACACACAACTTACGTCAATACCCAGTGTGCCCGATGTGCATGTGAGTGCAGCCTGTTGACCTCTTTGTCTTAGAGTGCGAACGTTGAATGTCATTATGGAAACGAGATAGCCTGGCCTTATAAGGGACTTTTGCCGATAAGCGTCCGATAGGTACGATGGGATGGTGGCTGCAAATGGTTCTACTCCAGTGGCACTTCGGTTGCTGTCAATTAAGCTGGGAATTATAGAAGGAAGGTTAGTAATGGGGGTCGGGATGGGAGTAAGAGGAACAAGTGGAAAAGAAAGAAGGGAGGCGCCAGCAGTAGTATGTTTTCGCTTCTCTGTCCTGCTGTATGCAGCTGATAAGGCGACCTTTGATAATCTGCGCGACGGTCGATGCACGATGAAGTTTATGTTTGAAGAAAATGTCATGGTTGTATGTGGGCTGAGATACTCCCAGGGCGCCAAGATTCAGACAGGTTGACGATTAGTGTCCTTAACCAACGCCTTTGGCTCAAAAGCCTGTCCACAAGGCAGCGGAGAGGTGGCAATGATTTAGTTTTACAGAAATGGACGCCATCCCATTTGCAACCCCCAACCTGGAGGACCAGGAGACTGAGTTTATCTGAGCTCTCACCATTGACCAACCTGGTAGGAGTAGCTCTCATGGTGCCCGGAGACATCACCCAGTATAGCTCAATGGGTCAATGAGGTACGCAAACCGTCGCACCACGTTAAGGTCCAGTCTCGTTGCGACGGGCTGTCCTAACCACTAGACTATCACGTGTGACCAAAAACGACTCTGGAACTTCGCAGATGGTTCAGGTCAGTTTCCAAGGACGAAATTAGGCTCCTGCCTAACGAGCGCCCAGTTTCTTGTACTGGAAAGCAAACCAGTGCCTCCAGTACTTTGACTTCGAGTAGTGTACCCTGTCCCTGCAAAAGAAATGAAGACAACAGCAACCAATGTAGTTTCTTGGATCATGGACCTCACGGTTTAGTACAATTATCAATAAACTTACGGTAATTCAGAAAAAGATTTGGCCAACACTTATCCAGGCTAGTTTCGAAGGCCGTTACAGCAGCATTTGCAATTAAGGCAGAAGGAAGTTTGTTTCAATTATGAATGACACGATTTGTAAAAGCTTGGCCCTAATCTTCAGCCTGGACCTCTGGTGCCCTAGTAGGTGATCGAATGCAGCAAGTCCAAACAAGTTGAAGGGCTTGGTCCCGCTGAGGCCCTTCATGATCTTGAAGGTTTCTATCAAATCACCTCTTACCCTGCGCCACCTTACAGAGAACAATTCTAGGCCGCTTAGGCGTTCTTCGTATGATTTCCTGCGCTGGCACTAGATCGTCCTTGTCGCCAGTTTTTGGACCATCTCTAGGCAGGTCACATTTTTCCGATATACGGCGCCCATGCCTGCACACAATACTCTAGGTAAGGTCGTACCACCCCCTTGGATAAAGAAAACCTTGACGGTGTTGCATAACGTTCTCATCAGGCGGAATAATACTTGCCAGGCTTTGTTGGCAGCATGCTGACTGCGCTGAAGTTTTGAAGGGAATAATCCATTGGAAACTTGGTTCCTGACCGTGAAAACAAACGGGTTGCAGGTGGTATACTGCATCCACTAAAGAAAACCGACCTAACTTGTGGGAGTGGGACGTCATGTACACATGAAATTAATACGGGTGTGGATGGAGAGCTTTAGAAATACGAATTGCGAAGAGGTGGATGGCAATGTGCCGACAAGAGAATAAAAAACAGCCGGGACAATTTCATAAGAAAACATTCGCGTTGTCAGTTATGATCGTTTATTGTGCTATTACACATGTTATTTCGCTTCGATGTCATGTGGGACGTTCCGTATGATATCCGAGTCACCTGAACAGGAAATAAGATGGTAAAGGCATATAAGACATACCAGGATCTTCGATAGCAAGAGTGCTGACGCGGAAGTATTTCCCGCAGGCCGTTCCTAAATCGCGGTTAGATCCATTGTAGTGGTGAACGCCGGTCTTGGAAAGCATGGCGTAGTACTCGATTTCAGTTTTCCTGAAGAAGAAGATTGATGAGGGCGAGATGCGCAAAAAAATTATGGATCTAGCTTTGGATCAACTTTAAAACGGTTCCTCACGGCTACCATTTTTGTTAGAGAACTTACCTTAGTGGAGGGGCATTATTTGCTATGATGATAAGCCGGGCTCCTCCGCGACGGACAAGCCGCAATGTCTGGCGGAGACCAATGGCACATTTACCGCTTTTCATGACAAGCGCAAGACGACTATTAATGGAATCCAAGGCTTTCTGAATGCAAACGGTTAGAAGAGCACCAGGAACATACAGATTTCTTTGCAGCAGCCCCAGTGACGGGCTTCTTAGTCGTAGTTACGACCATGACTTCAGACCAAGAACACCGTGTGCCAACAAGACCAGCGCACTAACAGAGTAGAGCAGCAGAAACTTTCGGTTGAGTGTCTAACACGTGGAACGAAAACGCACCGAAATAGGGATGTGTGCTCAAATATGGCAACTGTTTTTGCAGCCTTTAAGAAATACATAATATATTATGTATATATGTATAATATATATATATAATATACGTAAATCTGTGAGTACCACGCGGTAACTTCTCCTTCTGACGTGCTATACGTTCGAGCCTTTTAGGTGAAATTCTCGTGAAGAAAAGTGTTTGAATAGACACTTTTGACGAAATTTGACTTCAGTCAAATATTTCTTTTGGAAGATAGCACATCCATATGCGTGGACTGTGGGAAGGGTGTCACCTCACGTTCAAAGTCCGTCCATTGCGCACTGTGCGACAGATGGATGCATATAGTCTGCTGTAACACTGATAATGATCATTACCAATGTCTTCAGCGCCCTACCTCTGGAGGCATCAACTTTCACTGCGGTTCGTGTCTAACATTGGTCAGCGACAAGCAAATTATGACGAACCCTTTAAGTTCAGTTCAGTTTGTAGTGACCTGGAGATTCCCCAGTTTGGCTGCCGCATGCTGCGTAAAATACTACAAAATCACAAAATTATATTTTCTCGATGTACATAGCAAAATAGCCGCTCGCCTGTTTGAACGTTGCTCGCGTTTGTTTGAGTCAACAAAGCATCCGCCTTCGAACGGCGCGACGCTCCTCGGCTCCGCGGCCATCTTTGCTCTCCGCGCACGCGACCACACCTTTCCCTAGCTAGCTATCTTTCGGTGCCTAATTTTAGCACTAGATAGCCTTTCGCCCACTTAATAAATTTTTCCTAGCGTTACCTTTGGTGTTCTCCACTCACTGGAGGTTGGCCTTATATCCGCGTATTTGTTCTAAAGCGTACCGATCCCGCTTCGCGCTTTAAGTTCAAGTTCAGTTCAGGCGGAACTGGAACGATAGAATTATCCCGTAAGTGTTCCTTCTTCGGCGGGTCGTTGAACCAGGAGTTAGCGAACTTTGAAATACTGATGGACCTAAAACAAAGACCGCATCACACCCTGTCCAACCAATTAACGCCCACGTATCCTGCCCTAGCAGTCCCTGCTGGGTCGGTTACGTGAAGTAAGAAAGAGAAAAAGTAAACGCGGAAGGCAAAAGAGAAAGTGGTAAGAGCTAAGCAAGTGGAATACCAAGATATTTGAGTCAATAAAAAAGAACTGAAAAGTGAAGGTGAGTCGGCTAGGAAAAAGGAAAGGTTTGCTGTTGCCACCCAAGAGCATCGAGCTGGCGCGCAAAACCCTTAACTGTAGGTTCCCTAACCACATGATCTGGAAGCGAATTCCAGCGATCTATAACTCGGCGCGATAGACGAGTTTCCGTCCCAATCCTATCAGACCGTGATTTATGCAGTTTCAGTGGGTGACCGCGGAGACTAGGTAACGTAGCGGGGCTAAAAAGCCCTGACAAGTCCGGGCCAATCTTACCCGTCAAAATACGATAAGTGAGACTCAGGTCCCCTCTTATCCTTCGGTAGTGCATGGAGTACATACCCAAACTGAGCAAGCGTTCAGGATACGTCTGTCCCCGTAGACCCTGCACTAACCGAGTGCCCACTCGTAACACCCTCTCCAAGTCCATTTTGTCTCGGTTAAGACATGGTGGACAAGCCTGAATACAATATTCCAGGTGGGGTCGGACGAATGCCGAAAATAGCATCACAAACAATTTAACCGTTAAGATTCCGAAAGAGCGGCGGATAAACCATATCATACGAAACCGTCGACAAGCAGCCTTCTTCCAGTTGTCTCCAGAATGAAGTGCTGATGCGTGTACGACTCCTAAATCAACCTGCTGAGTGACAACAGGGAGTCCATCACCGCCGACAACATATCGGGTGGGAGGATTTGCAGCTCCGATTCGGAGAACAGAGCACTTCGCCCTATTTATGGGTATCAACCATAAGATAGACCATTCCCAGAGCCTATCCAAGGCACGCTGAATTGCCTCAGGACCCCCCGGGATATCCACAATATTCCAGAGCTTAAGGTCGTCAGCAAACATTAATGATGACACCCCTAGCTCTCCCGGCAAGTCATTTACATAGATCGCGAACAACAATGGCCCCCAATACCGAGCCCTGCGGAACGCCACTAAGGACAGCTTGCCTGAGCGAAAGGCTACGCCCCACCCGTACGCACTGTTCCCTCCCCTCAAGGAAGGCAGACACCCATTGAAGGGCGCGACCAGATATCCCGTAAGATCTCAACTTTAGTGAGAGCCGAAGATGTGGAACAGTGTCAAAAGCTTTCGAAAAATCTACGAATAGCACGTCTACAGCGTGGCCACTGTCTACCGCTTCGGCCCAGCTTTCACGAGCTACAAGTAAATTAGTCTGACATGAAAATCCTTTGCGGAATCCATGTTGTGCAACACTGAGAAGGTTGAATCGATTCAGGTGGTTCTCCACTGAAGCCCTTATCAGCTTCTCGAACAACTTGACTACTACGCTTGTCAAACTGACAGGCCGGTAGTTCGCGGGTAGAGCGCTGTCACCGCCCTTAAAAATCGGACAGACGATTGCCTCCTTCCATTCCGAAGGTAGGCTGCAGCTGTCCAGCGATATTGAAAAATACGCACGTGAGCGGACCACTCAGCTCAGTGGCCAGTTCATGCAACAGCTTCGGATGAATTGAATCAGGACCGGAAGCTTTAGAGGGATTAATGTCTTGCAGTAGCTCGAAGACCTGAGTCTCCGTTATGCTAAATTCAGCTAAGCAAGAATCCTCTGGAACTCTTGAAACCAATTCAACCTGCGGTAAAGAGGTCTCCCGAGCAAGACCCCAGTATACTGATCACTCAGTATACAAGCCTTGTCATAGTCAGTTTGCGCAAGGGTCCCGTCTGCTCGCAATAAAGCTGGTATAGACAGTTTTGCCCCGCTGCGTCTTTTAACGTAAGCAAAAAACTTCTTGGGATTAGCTGCGGCCGAGTCCGCTAAACCCTGCTCGTATTGGAGACGAGCAGTTCTGAGATGTTGCTTATATTTATTTCTATTCTCTCGATAACTATCATAGGTACTGGCTGATGGAGCTGCTTGGTAGGTTCGCCAGCATCTAGACCGTTTCTTGAGTAGGTACTTGCCTGTGGTATCTATCCATGGAGGCTGTGCCCTTAACCCTCTTTTCCTAATGAGTGGAATATAGGGAGCGGAAACCTCCGTAAGGTATGCCTTAAATTTATCCCAGGCTAACTGGACAGAGTCAGCCATCGAGATCTCACAGTTCAGAACTGAAGCCTTAGTTCGCATTGCACTAAAGTCCGCCCGCCAAATATTCGGAAGTAATTCAACAGCGGTCTCTTGGTGCCTTGAAAGAGCACATCGAAAGGATATGCATGCGTGATCGCTGGACCCTAGAGGTGCACCGCATGAAACGTCAGTCACGAAGTCCAGGGACTTAGCGAAAAACCAAATCCAAAGTAGATGGCATTTGGTTGTCCATATACCTAGTGGGAAAGTCAACGAACTGGTGCAAAGGCACTTGGAGAGTCAGTTCAAGGAAGTCTGCACCGAATGTTCCTAATGCCGAATTGCAAGAAAGATCGGCCCAACAGACTTCCGGGAGGTTGAAATCCCCTAGAACTAAACACTTATTCGCAGACTGAGTGCGAATAAAGTCAAGTATCCCCCTGGAGGAACTTCCAGGACTTCTGTATATCACTATAACTGTAAACTGGGTAGAGGAAGTGCACAAAACAGCCGATAGGGCTTCAACAGTCTGATCCGACGACTGGAATGTGCAAGTCCTCAACACATCTAAGTTACAGCTCACATACAGTACAACGCCTCCGCCTTGGCGACCAACGGAGCGATCAGTTCTAAGCAGCGCGTAGCCAGGTAAATATACCTCACCGTCCGTGATATCCGGAGACAACCACGTCTCAGTGAAAGCAAGTATGTCGGGACGAGATTTGTCTACAAGTAGACCCAACTCGTGCACCTTGTTCCTTAGGCTACGCACGTTGCTAAGTACTACCTCAAGGAAGTCGGCACGACCATCCCTGGGTCGTGCGCCATCAGGATTGGTTCTGATAGGGCGGAAAGTAATTTCCGGCTGACCACCTGAAAACCCACCAGACGGAGGCCTTGCTTCACCAGCCGCCCGTCTAGTTTTGAGGTCTTTGATAGCCTCCTTTAACTTCAACCTATCTACCAGTTGGAGGTCCGGCTGAACGCTGACACCACTACCCTTAATTTTGAATGCAAATCGCAGTAACGATTTGCGTTCCTCCGGGGTAGAAAGGACTACGCGAAGTAGTCGGGGTCGTGGGTTTGGCGTAGTGATAGGAACGTTCCCCAATCTGGTCAGCATTCTGACAGTGACACCAGGGAAACCAGGTGGAAGCAGCTTGCTGACACACAGTTTCAGCCACTTGATGTCATCCAAGATGCGTTCCCTTGGGAGAACAGCCTCAGATTCAGTAACGTTACGGAATATAACGCTACTATCCGTGAAAGAGTCGGCACGACGGGGAGTGTTTACCTCACGTGCCTTTGATTCGACACCTATACCAGCTGTTTTCACCACTGGCGGTGGGACTGTCGCTGGCTTCCCAAACGACGCCGAAGCAACGGTAGCGTAGGTTTTCCGCTCTATTGCCGGCGTCTTACTGGTTCCAGGGTCTTCAAGCCCCTTCGAAGTTTTACGAGCAGATCTTGTCCGCTTCTTCTTTTGGCTCACTGGAGCAGGGGCCGTTGACTTTGTATCGCATTGGCAGTTACCAGCATTTCGTCAGAACAGGCTGGTTCACTGGCGGCGAGACAGTCAGCGTCTGTGGAAAGTTCTGTGTGCAATCTTCAGACGACTTTACGACTGTCAAAGACGGCATCTCGTTCGATGCCGTGGCAACTATTTCTCTGGGTTTAGCAGAGGGCTTTTGGTATTTCCGCACCCTATTTTTCTT